AAAAAAAAAAAAAAAAAGAAGAGGGGATGACAGAGTACTCTCCTTGACCATGGTCATTAGCAAATGGAGGTGTAGTCCAATTACTTGACTCTTCCCAAGGTGGACATGCTACTTTAACGGAAGGAAAGTCGGCAGAGAAAAAGGGGAGGGGGGAATTGATACCAGCCAACCTTTGCTCTCTCTCTTTCTTTTCCCTGCTTTTTCTCTTTTTATAATGTACTTTCATACATATTAATAAATGTTGCTCCCGGAAAAGGCTTTGAGTAATGAGAAGGATAGTGTGCATCAATTCCAGTGGTTCATGAGGGTTAATTGAAACACCTTCTTAACAAAAGCATATTGTTCCTTCATCGTGACTTACAGTCATAGCTTGCTTTCTCCCAATGTCATTTAGTTCAACATCTAAATGCCCCTGGTCAATAAAGGAAAACAATATCACTTTAACTTTTCTTTTTCTTCACTCATATAAGTTTAGCTTTTTGCTTTCAGTAATAATAACCACTTGCTGATGAGCCATATGCGGAGGAGTAGAAGACATTCAAGAGTATAATTTCTCATCCGAATCATAGTCAACAGAGCAACAATTACTGAAATAATCCCACAAATCATCAAGAACTTATAAATTTACAGACGTATTAGACAAGGATTTTGGCACTTTGCATTTTCCCTATCCATATTACATTATGCCATTTATACTTTAAAAGCTTCATCTCTCCATAATCTTTAAAAACACAGCACATTTTTCCATTTTTAGTTTTCCTATCATGTTTTCACCAGTTGCATCCGGTTGCATTATGCCAATTATACTTCACAAGGTTGCTGTCTGCCATTTAGAAGCTTTATCTCCCTCTCTCCTCCCCCCCCAACCCCAACCCCAACGGGAAGACAGCCGTCAGATCTTTCAAAGGGTTGCTACCTAGCAAAAATATGCATCTATAACTGTTTATGGGTTTATTAACTGCCTTTCTCAAAATATCCAAACGTACATATTATCTCGAAAAACTTATTTCTCTCTTATAATCCCAGAACCCCAGTCTTATTCCCATTTCATAAAATTTTGGGGCATGTTAGAGTTATGAGTCTGCTGGAGATTGGATCAAAATGAGGGGTTGGCATGGTAAAGTTTGATATCTTAAAAGTAGAGACTATAGCGAAGTATATATCCACAAAATATACACGACAAATTGCAATGCTAGAAACCTGCAAAGTGAAAAGACACTTTGAATCTACAAAAGTAAATGAGTTTTATTCATTAACCCAAAGCAAAAGGAAGAAAATTGAAGGTAACTAGTTTTTCAATATCATAAATAACTAGAATGGTAAGTAGAATAGAATACCTAGTATACTAAATAGTAAATATTTACTAAATTTCTGCTTTCTGGCTAAACAAGAATGTGCATTACAATACTTGATACTAAAGTATATCTCGTAAGAAGGAATAACTTATAAAATAGTATAAATTTGATAGACTTTACATTGAAAGACAAAATATAACCTAAATGCAAATATTAAGTTCAGGCAGTTAGTAGTGTTCGATGATGGCAGTTTGATATTTACTTTTGTGAACTATCTAACAGAAGTTAATGAAAGAAAGGTCACTGAAACAACAAATTAAAGAATAACAGTAGACACTGTAATCTTAAAACATAAAAGGCAGGTGTTTTGGACAAAGTAGATTGGAGGCTGATGATCGTCTACAGCCTAGATTACAGAACTAATAGGCTAGTGCAAGAGATATAAGCTCTGCTTCCATATCTCTGAAAGCAAGCGACATCATTCAGCTAAACAACAACAAATCATAAAGCGCAGCTAGAAAAAACCTGAATTTTAGAAGCAACGTTCCACTGAGTTTCACCGTGACGGATAACAATAATCTCGGTAAAACTGGGGATAACATTTTCGGCTTTGACATCTCCATGACACTGAGATTGCAGTAGAACCCTGTTATGCACACATGCAAACGTTCCAATTTTAGGGCACAAGAAGGTAGAAAATCAACATTCTAGTACTGACATCCATGTAAAAGAATAAGTGTTAAAAGTATTAACTAACCAAAGAGGGGAAGAGCCGAATTTCAGTTTTCTAATCTAGAAAACAAAACCAAAAAAAATGAACTAAAGAGTAGAAAAACCCAATCGAACGGACTGATTAGTACCACTAACTAGAATCCAAATCAACAATTCAAGTACTGACATAGACGATTGACATCCATGTAAAAGGAAAACAATGTTAAGAAATGTATTGGATAACCAAAAAGTGGAAAAACCTATTTGATTTACCGATCTAGAAAGCAAAATTGAACAGAGCATATTAAAAATATCACATCGATCCAACTGATCAATATGACTCCAGTATACATAGATACAACTGATATCCACGTAAAGAGAAAAGAATGTTAAATAAGGTATAATCTAACCAAAAGTGGAAACACCAAACCGAATGGAGCTTATAGAGACTGACATTTGCTTAAAAGATAAAGAATGATAAACAACGCGAACTGAAATGAGGAGGAATCAAACCAAACCACACCACACGCAAACTGGAAGAGGAAGAACCGAACCGAACCAAACCGCACAACAGGCTACCTTAAAAAAGGAAAATCGAACCAAACAGCACCACAGGTTAACTGAAAAGAGGAAGAACCGAACCAAACCGCACCACAGGGTTCCCAATCTAGAAAACAAAAGCGAAAGAGCAGTCAAAAATTGAAAGGAAAAAAAATGTAACCGACTGAGAAATGCCCTTCCTAAAATTCAAAACAATGACTGACATGGCCAGCTGACATCCATGTAGAAGAGAGAAAAAGAACACTAGCAACACATTCTGAAAAGAGGAAGAACTGAACCGAATTTATCTAATTCGGTTACCAGGAGCCGAACCGAATTAGGCTGCTCGAGATCAAATTGCAGTTTTCCAAAATAAAAACCGAACCGATCTCCTTTGAACCGAGTTCAAAAGAACCAAACTGAACCGACTGATCCATGCCCCAACTAAGAATTCAATTCAACATTTAGTACTGCCATAGACGGATATCCAGTAAAAGAAAAAGTTGAAGGCATTGGCAAAACAATGATTCCAGTACTGAAGCAGATTACAGACGACTGACATCCATGCAAAAGAGAAAAAAATTTGACTAAGGGTAAAGAAGGAGAACGAACCGAACTAGAAACAAATGCCGGTTCGGTCAAGGTTTACTGAAAACAAAACCGATAAAAAATATCAAAATAACCGAACCGAATATCAACCGAAAAGTTAAAAACAGAAATCGAACGACTGATGAGTAGTCCAACCTAGAATTTAAATCAGCCATTGCAGCAGAGGAAATGCAGGATTGAAGCTCAAGCTTGATCTGAAGTGAAACTTGAAAATTGAGGGCTCTCCGCTTTAAGGGTGCGGAGAAGTAGAGGAATGAGTTGTCAGGCTGAATGTGATTCTCGTTTAAGCCATGTTCAGTTACCGCTTCTGCAGTGTAATTATATACTACTCTCCTCAGTTCTAGTTTATGACTAGGCGTGTTCATAAAAACCCAAAACGGAACCAAAAAATCAAACCAAATCGACCAAAAAAACCGATACTTTTTGGTTTGTTTTTGTTTTGGTTTTGAATTTTAAAAACCGATCAAATTTGGTTTGATTTTGGTTTTAATTAAAAAATAACCGAAAAGACCGAACCAAACCGACTATAGGAGTAGCTATTTCAAATTTAATATTACAACCTATTTATATGTATATTTTTATACAAAGTTTCAAAAATTTTATGGTGAATGTTAATCATTTGCACTTTTAGTATAGTTCTTACCTTTATATTCTAGTTTGATTGATAGTTTTCTTTTGTTAAGTGTAAGAATTCATTTCGTGTTAAAAAAAAATATATTTTTAATTGAGTCCTTAAATTATTCATCACTATTTGATTCGATTATCATCAATATATTTTAGTAAATAATAGATTTCTCAAAGGGCAATTGATTTGATAGTGTTACGTTGAAAATGTGGTAGCCGGAATATATGTTTGGTAATATTTAAGAGAAAACCGACAAATAACCGAAAAAATCGAAAACCTGACAAATCCCGACATAAACCGAATCGAGAAAAAACCAACTTAATTGGTTTGGTTTGGTTCTAATATCTGAAAAACCGACTTACTTGGTTTGATTTCTTTTTAGGAAAAATCGATCCAAACCGAACCATGAACACCCCTAGTTTATGTATTTCTTTTTTGTCCATTCCAAAAAGAATGACCCCCTTCTAAATTTGGAAACGATTTAGCTTAAACTTCCAAATTGTACCGTTAATGAGAAGCTTTTATAACCATACAAATACTGTAGACCACTTTTGAACTTATTTAGAATCTTCATTTTCTGTTAAACTCCGTGCTTAGTAAAGAGGTTCACATAAATTGGAACCCAGGGAGTACAAAAATGAGAAATTTTCATAAAACACTATCTTTTAGTAGTAATTAGCCATCTATAGATACCATTTGCTATATTACGGATTATAGATACCTTTTATGTGGTTATAAGATGTATTTGATGTATTTAAGCTATTGTATTCATGAATACAGTAGCAAAAATAGGCGTGAATCAGGGAAGTCCAGCTAATCAGTTGTTGTATTCGAGTGTATTCGACTGTATTCATGGAGTGAAACATATGATTACAGCTGGACAGATTATTGTATTTAGCTGTATTCGACTATATTCATGGCGTGAAATAGGGGATTACACTGTTTTTAAAACGGAAAATGAATCAATTAACATAATAGACTCCTAATATAACTCAACAAACTCAATTATAACACACAAATTTTGTATTTTCAGTTATAAAAAAGATTCTCAAACGAAAAATACCCCAAAAACATAGCAATCTTCAGAGAAATTATATAATACATCTGAATACATAAATTATATTAATTAAAAAAACATATGAATACATTCATGGCATATAGCAAGACGGTGAATACAATGAAATACATATAATACAGCGGGATACATTGAAATACAATGAAAAAAAAGACAGTGAATACAATGAAATACATGGAATACAACGAGATACATTGAATTACAATAAAAAAAAAAGACAATGAATACAATGAAATACATTGAAATATATTAACAGAAAATCAAGTTGCTCAGCCCCAAACTCCGTCGTCTTTGTTCAAGAACAAACCCTAATTTCTGGTGAATCCGCCGTTCACCGGAAGTCGGTAGTGAAAACGCACCGCCATGGTCCGGCGATAGTGCCAGAGCCGAGGTCACTTCCTGAGCAGAAACAACCGCCGATAAGACCGCCGATACGCGAATCAAAACCCTTCTTTCATGGCTTTTGCATAGCTTTTTGTACGTGTACCCATGTGCGTGGTCTCTTTGCATAAATTAAATGAATAGATAGTTACGGGGACCGGCAATAATGATAACTGAATCAGGAACTCACCATTTTAGACATTCAAACATGGAGAAAGAGGCGGAGAGAGAGGAGATAACCATGGAGAAATACTGGCGTTGAGAGAGAGAGATGGTGGAAAAAAATCTGAAAGAATGAGAGAGAAAAATAATACAAAGAGTATTTTATGGATTAAGAGTAGGAGGAAACCATAAATAGATATTTGGCTATAAAAATCAAAAGGTATCTATAGAATATAAATTTTAAAAGGATATTTATTTAAAATAAATAAGGTATCAACCTTTGCTATAGGAGGTAAAAATTCCTTCTATAAACCCAGGTCTATTTCAACCAGACTGGGCTTTGTAGTGGGCTCCCTTTTCAGTCCTACACTGCTAACCAGTAATCTATCCAGTTCTATGTTATATTGGGCTGAACCAAGAGCCTAATCTTCGACAGTGAGTACCGATGAATTTTTGTAGGAATTTTTACCTCCTATAGCAAAGGTTGTTACCTTATTTATTTTAAATAAATACCCTTTTAAAAAATTATATTCTATAGAATCCTTTTGATTTTTACAGCCAAATATCTATTTATGGTTACCTCCTACTCTTAAGCCATAAAATACTCTTTGCATTATTTTTTTCTCTCATTCTTTCAGATTTTTCTCCACCCCCCCCTCTCTCTCTCAACGCCAGTATTTCTCCATGGTTATCTCCTCTCTCTCCGCCTCTTTCTCCATGTTTGAATGTCTAAAATGGTGAGTTATCTAGGTTGGTGAGCATTCGTACAAGGAGATTGTATTGGTGGTGATCTATGTCCCAAGCACTTGGGTATAAACAAGTGTGGATCTATGGTATGTTCAATTCTTAGAATATCTAGAAGGATCTGAGACCCCACCTTGATTTCCAATTTGAATGTCAGTTCCAGGTTTGGAACTGTCCATAGAACTGATTCAATTATTGCTACTGTCGGTCCCCGTGACTATCTATTCATTTAATTTATGCGAAAAGACCATACACATGGGTACACGTACAAAAAGCTATGAAAGAAGGGTTTTGATTCGCGTATCGGCGGTTTTATTGGCGGTTGCTTCTGCTCAGGAAGTGACCTCGGCTCCGGCACCATCCCCGGACTAAGGCGACGCGTTTTCACTATCGACTTCCGGTGAACGGCGGATTCGCCGGAAATTAGGGTTTGTTCTTGAACAAAGACGACGGAGTTTGGGGCTGAGCAACTTGATTTTCTGTTAATATATTTCAATGCATTTTCATGTATTTCATTGTATTCATTGTCTTTTTTTCCATTGTAATTTAATGTATCTCGTTGTATTCCATGTATTTCATTGTATTCACTGTCTTTTTTTCCATTGTATTTCAATGTATCCTGCTGTATTATATGTATTTCATTGTATTCACTGTCTCGCTATATGCCATGAATGTATTCATTTGTTTTTTAATTAATATAATTTATGTATTCAGATGTATTATATAATTTATCTGAAGATTGCTATGTTTTGGGGTTATTTTTTGGTTGAGAATCTTTTTTATAACTGAAAATACAAAATTTGTGTGTTATAATTGAGTTTGTTGAGTTATATTTGGAGTCTATTATGTTAATTGATTCACTTTCCGTTTTAAAAACAGTGTAATCCCCTATATCACGCCGTGAATACAGTCGAATACAGTTGAATACAATAGTCTGTCCAGCTGTAATCCCATGTTTCACTCCATGAATACAGTCGAATACAACAACTGATTAGATGGACTTCCCTGATTCACGCCTATTTTTGCTACTATATTCATGAATACAATAGCTTAAATGCATCAAATACATCTTATAATCACAGAAAAAGTATCTATAATCCGTAATATAGCAAATGGTGTCTATAGATGACTAATTACTACTAAAAGATAGTATTTTATGAAAATTTCTCTAATTTGATAATGATGTTTAAAGGCCCAGATAATCTCATCTTAGTTTAGTTCACATAATTGTGATAGAATATCTACTGCTTCATCCCATAATTTTGTCATGATTTAACTCCCAGAGGTTAAACTGGCTTAGTTAAAAATCATATTTCATAGAGTATATGACAAAGATGGTTTCAGCAGGCAGAGGGTTTCACAGTTACAGGGAGCAAAATCGTATTGTTGATGGACTCGTTAAGTACGAAAAAACTATGGAGATAGAAAATGGCACACATCTGATTGTTCAACCATCATCCTTTTTAGTAGATCAACTACTAGCAGGACTACTGATCAGTAGACGTGTTACAACATCTACTACCCTTCCCACCCCATGGCAACTTTTCCCGAAAGAATTAAACTCATTGGTTAGATCAGCTAAGAATTATGTATAATGTCAAGTGATCGATGGCTTCGTTTGTTCATTTGGATATGTCGAACAAAGATAAAGAGTACGAATTATCCAAATCCAAAAGAGAACTTGATATTTGTTGGTCCATATCTATAAAATTCCATATGCATAACGTTAGGTAAAAGAGGAAAAAGGGAAAAGCTTTTTTCTTCTTGGACAAAGAAAAAGGGAAATGCTTTATGTTCATGCCAGTGACGTTTATGCATTGTCATTTGCCAATTGTTAGGAGTCAAAGCGCAAGGTCAATTAGTTATTAGTATGATTTGTGAATGAAAATTCTTGGGTCCTTCCATATTTCAAGTGCAATATTCCTTCATTTCACACAAATTAAGATCATCTTTTTAGATGATGTAAAAATCAAGTTTGGAGGCTAGCACTTGTTTTGAACTTTCTGAAACCTCTTTCTTATTGTTTGCCGCGTGGAATGAATAAAAAAAATTAGACCATTTGGCAGTTGTACTACGACCACGAAAGT